CGTAAAAATACTATAAATCATGATAATTGACAACATAAAATATTTAAAAAATGTTGTATGTGGTAGTCTTATTATGCCTTAAATAGCGTTAAAGAAAGTACAACTTTGTAATAAAAAAACTTATTCCTTTATCCACGCAAACAATCGCTTCAAAAACTCCGTTAGTAGCCCCAAAACATACCATTTATATTATTGGGCCCGTGCATAGCACGGGCAACATTATCTAGTAACTTAAGATAAAATCCACATGTAGTAAGTCGTCCATAGAGTAAGTGCAACTGATGCCAGAGCATAATTCCATAGCATAATCACTGAACATTCACTTTCACCAACTTCAAACAACTGTGTAATTGTACCTGCCCATTTGCCAACCAAAAATATTAAAGGAAAAGAATGAGAGCAAAATTGCTTTTGAAATTAGAAAAGTAATTACATAGATTATCTTGTATGTAATATATACCTATGGTCATGGCAGAGGGAAGTGCATATTGCAAGAGAAGTACAAACTGATATAATGAATCTGATCCAACCAACCCATAATGACGTGCAACTTTGACAACACAAATTCCTGATAGTGGCAATGCTACATAACGTATTACTTGAATGCCTATCACAATCCACACACCTACTTCTGACTTTTTCAGCCCTGCACTTATAATTTTTAATTACATTATCGATCGGTAACTGATCTGATCTGATCTGCTAAGGTAAGTGACCTGCTACGAAACCAAACCTTTAAGAAGATTTGCTCCAACTATCAATGTCATTGCTGGTATTGCAGCTTCTCTGTAGCAGCACAAAACACAGTGTAATACGTTGAGTTAATTAATTGTCATATACTATAGTATTAGTACAAATTAAAATATCCAAAATTGAGCTTTAATTTGTTATACCCAAGCATAGATGCAGAGCTATCGATGACATGCAATGGAGCCTCATTTCCAATGATTAACTTTCTTAGCAAAGATGATACGCCAATTAAGATCCCAACAATCTGTAAAAATTACATAATTTGCAGATTATATATATTCTCAGTTGAAAAAATTAGTACATGATTAAACCATGTGGTCGTACCGTAGCAATTGTTGAGGGTGCAAATAACATTTTGAACTTGATTCTTTGTGTCCATGTTTTGATATGTTGTTTCATCTTTTTCACAACATGTCCCTGTACAATAATATTATTATTATTAAATTGAAATATTAGCTGGCACCATTAACGAAAATATATCATCGCATGGCCATGACCATTAATTTTGGTACTTTAGGGCTTGAGCATAGCCAGCTTCTTATTTGTTGATGCCTCACTATTGTAAGGTATAATAAATAGTTTGTTTCCTCCCATTGTAAGGGGATTCTAATTCTAGCAATATACTATCTAGCTACTTCTTGAACTCCAAGTTTACATTATTCACTAATAATAATTAAGTAGCATTCTTGGACTTATTGGGGCGCTATCTTAACTAACAACTTCATATTCTTTACACTTTTACTTATTTCATTTGATTTTGCTCGCTAACCTGACAATAACTACTAATAATCGGACCTAGAAAAGAGCTAGCTGAACCAAGATAAATTTAACTACATATGATCGTTTTACTGATAAACAAAGGTCATCTTGCTTAATTGTGTGTTTTAACATGTTAACTTAAGTTTTAACAATTATTACTTGGTACTTTACTATGTGTTTAGGTGATCACCTGATGCAGTAAAAAAGACTCAAAGATTGTACTTTTACACTATATATCACGTCACATAGTAATAAAAGTCGATTTCTATTTTAAAGAAAGTAACCTGATGATGATCATGTGTGGTTTGATATGCAATGAGAGGCAGTGCAAGTTGAGATTCATGGTCCATATCCATTGGAGGTAATTTTGGGACTTGTGTTGAGGTATTATTATGTTGACTTCCAGATGCTCGAATCATGTTATAGATATATGTCCAAATATACACTGCTCCTACCTACACATATATAATTAATTAAAATATGAAATATAATACAAACCACAAATTAATCTTACATACTATTAATTTTAATGTAATTAGTTTGAAAATTGACCTAGTACTAGAGATTAGAGATGTCAAAGATGAGCCCAACTATAGATAACCTGTCCAAAATTTTAAAAGTTGGACTCAAGATAATTTGTATTGAGTTCAATCTCAACTCATTCAAACTTTAACTCATTTTAAGAGAATCCTCCATTGACCTCAATTTAATCTTCAATTTCTACCCATTTTAAGACTCTTTATTTTTATTGATATAATGTATATTCCTATATTGAAGGTACAACTTCCTATCTATTTTATATCTTTAAGGATTTATCTATCCATCTATATTTTCTTTTTTATTTTAAATTTTCTTGAATTAAAATTCAAATTGTGGTTATAAAACTTAAATAACAGTATATTAAAATGATTGAGATTAAACTGGTCAAATTGGGTAGGTCAAGATCTAACTCATGTTTAAGCCTATTTGAGCCCAAAATAAACTTGGGTGGATCAATACCCAACCCAATTTCTATTTTAACTCATTTTAATATCTTCAGTTTCAACCAACCGACCCATTTGACACCTCTGCCTTGTACTATTAAAAAGAGAGTTGTGTACGTAGTGATACCGCCATAGATAGTGATGCATAGGCCTTCCCATTAGTGGAGCATGTAATTGAATCCCCAAAAGGACTATTCTTCTCCTCACATACTGCTGGAATTATGATGAGAAGCAAGTTCCCCAAATTCCCTATATATTCAGAAAAAAATAAATATGAGATTCAGATTTCATTTTCCTATAGAAAATTATAAATACTATTCTCTCTGTCTTAATTTATTTGTCTGATTTTATATTTGACATGAAATTCAAGAAAGTAAAGAAGAATATTTGAATCTCATGGTCTAACTAAATATATGTAAAATTACCAAAATGTTTTTAATTTTATGATCTCAGAGGTGCAAAATTAGAACTAAACTCGAGTTTGTTTACCTGCAGAACAACAACTAATAACTAGGCCATGGAGATGTATGGGAGTTTTTGTGATTTTCACAAGTATCCATCCAAGTACTGAACCGATAATAAAGGTGAGAAGGATGT